GTCCTGATTCCTTCTTAGGTTGTCTCATCTTCTGGTCCCTCTGGTTCTTCTCTCCTGGACATGTTGGCAGTGGCAGGTGTTAATTATGCTGAATCTCAGAGGCTTACATAGAAGTCATGACATGCAGACTTATGGGAGAGTGCCCTGCAGGACCACAGTTCTGGGGATGCTATAACTGGGAGTTAGCATCATGATGTTGACTCTTCAGAAGGTGAGGTGAGTTGGATTGAGACTCCACAAAACATGGAATAAATCTGAACAACAGGCCAGGATTGGGTATCACGTTTGAGTCTGAGGTCAGTCTTTCATAACCACCCATGTCTCTGTCTCAAGAAAACAAACAAGAGAGCTTACAACCTTGTGTCAGCTAAACACAGAAGAGGTTTGGGGAGGAAGGAGAGACAAAATCAAAGCTTACCGTGCTTTGTTGCTCCTTATAGTGGGATAAAGGAAACATCAGGGATAGAAATGTAAAGAAAAAAATAACTGTTGATTTCACAGCTACTTACCTGTTGATGTTGATTTCACAGCTACTTACATTTTTGCTTGAGAGAAGAACAATGGAATTATGGAAAGTATACTGATGTAGAATTCAAAATCATGTATCATTCAAATCTTTGCTTCTGAATTTACCAGATCTATGTTCTTGGGCAACTCCTATAACCTCTTGATGGCTGAGTTTCCTCTGGTCCATCATTTAAAAATTTACTTACTTTAGAGGATTATTATGAGTACAAAACAAACACACACATAAGGAGGGTCATATATATGCAAAAAAGTATATATATATATATATATGTGTGTGTGTGTGTGTACACATGTATACAAATATACATAAATTATATATATATATATTTATAGAGTGTTAGATATAAACATTCTACTATTTGCAGACCTTAGTATAAATTATTTTGTTATAAGGAAAGCTATGGAAAAATGCAGTTGTTACTATTAATGTTACTTACCTTTGTAACCTTGTATTTTCATTTGAATATTTGTTATTTATTTCTTTTCAGCATAATATAATTCATTGTTTATGCACCACACCCAGAGCTCCATGCAATACGTGCCCTCCTTAATAACGACCACCAGGCTCACTCCTCCCTCCACACCCCTCTGCTCCAAAACCCTCAGTTTGTTCTTCAGAGTCCACAGTCTCTCGTGGTTCATCTCCCACTCTGATTTCCCCCAATTCACTTTCCCTTTCCTTCTCCTAACGTCCTCCATGTTATTCCTTATGCTCTGCGAGTAAGTGACTATTTTAGGATATGCCTTTTTACTCCTCCTCTAGACTGAAACTGCTATATACATTACAAAGTTTGTGGACAATAAGATACTGATTTTGTGTAGAAATTGATTTTGTGTAGCTCTGAGATGGCTACCATTCAAACAAATCAAAGACGGCTTAAGTCTGTGACAATTTAGAGCAAGGGAATCTAATATACAGCACTGCCTTAAACCAAAGAGAAGATTCTTGGACAATCACAATAAGAAGAAATACCTAAAGTGAAATCAGAGGTGAAATAAATACCTAAACATGGGAAAAAAAAAAACCTTGAAATGAGTAAATTAAGACACATGTAAACTCTGCATAGGCTTCTTGGTCTTGGAGAAAAAAAGTAGATGGTGTATCAGTGAGATCTACTGAGGTCATGAGTGAAAGGTAATCATAACATCAAGATACTAACAAAACCTAACATATCAGAACACCAAAGGGAAGAGTTTCATGACTGCAGGTTTCAAAGAATTAATTAAAATGTGGCAAATACCTGTCAGCTAACCTTACTTCTACAAGTCACATCCTTACTCTTGGAGAGTATATACTCAATCCAGTCAGGAAAGTAGGCCAGGAATTACAACAGAAATGATAGATAGATAGATGATAGATGATAGATAGATAGATAGATAGATAGATGATAGAAAAATAGATGATAGATAGATATGTATCAAAGGAGTATTGCAAGTAGTGTTCTGGAGGATTAGTAAAGAAGAGGGAAGAGGGTGAGAAATACTTAGGGACCATTTTCACTTGAAATGATCCCTACAGGATGGAGAGCAGCAGGAGTTCCCCACAAAGGGAGAAGTGTAGATGGTCTGGATTGTGGGACTGTCCACATGGTTGCAGCCATTATTGTATGACTCTTGAATCTAAGGTGCATTATAATATAATCTGTTGATATGGAGATTCGCTGAAGAGTTTTGAATTGACATGTGCATGGTAAGATCTGAATTAAGAAAGATTCTTCTCCAGGGGCACCTGGGTGGCTCAGTGGGTTAAAGCCTCTGCCTTCGGCTCAGGTCATAATCCCAGGGTTCTGGGATTGAGCCCCGCATCAGGCTCTCTGCTCTGCGGACAGCCTGCTTCTTCCTCTCTCTCTCTCTGCCTGCCTCTCTGCCTACTTGTGATCTCTGTCTGTCAAATAAGTAAATAAAATCTTTAAAAAAGAAAAAGACTCTTCTCCATACATGCTAGGCTGCTATGAAGATGAGAGCAATTGTAAGCAGGAAGACTGATTTGGAAGCTAGAGACTATGGAACATTGAACTGTAGTCTACTTGTCTGTTGTATTGTGTCTGAATAGATACAGATTTAAAAGATTAATCTGACAGAGAGTGTGAAAGAATGAGCCTAGCTTGACAACCTGACACACAGGCAATTGCAATTCAAAGATAACCACTGGGCTCTGGGCACTGAAACAACTGTGGCTCCATCCATAAAACAAAGATGCTGTAAGTGTGAGAAGAATGGGTAATGAGCTCAGTTTTGGATTTAGTGATTCTGAGGTCGGGCTTGAGGCAAACATATCTTCCTGCAACCTGCCACTCATGCCCCCACTGTCTGATTCCACAATTCAGTGAAACCAGCACAGGACACCGGACCTGGTGCCCAGGTGCACTAATCCTACCTGTTGGATGGCAAGAAGAGTAAAAGTAAACAGAGGTTCCTGGGTCATTGTCTTAAACAATCATCCATTTACTGCAAATACCACATACACTGTGTACACATGCACAGAAAAAAAGAAAAATCCTGTACTTCAGGGAATTCATAATTAGGGAAATAAATAATAACTATTAATAGCTATTGAAATGTTAACATATGAAAAGAACTGAGTTACATACGCAATTTACATTATATCACTCAGTCCTGTGAGAAAGCTATGTTCACTTTAAAAAGGAGCATACAAAAGCACAAAATAGGTGATGTGACATCTCCAAAGTCACACAGCTGGCAAATGAAATGGCCAGGTTTGAAGGAAGGAAAAATGCCTTTTATAAAATAACTAGAAAGAAATATTAAATGAATTTGCCATGATATTGGAGCAAAACTGAAAGGAATTTAGGATTTTTAGAAAACAGAAAAATTAGTCATTGGATTTTTTTTTAATTTTAATTCTGGCATAGTTAACATGCAGTGTGATATTAATTTCAGGTGTATAATATTATAGTGAGTCATCATTCCAATACATCATCCAGTGCTCATCATGACAAGTGTCCTCCTTCATCCCCAGCACCTATTTCTCCCATTTCCCACCCACCTCCCCTCTGGTGACCCTCAGGGTGTTTTCTGTATTTAAGTGTCCGTTTCTTGGTTTTTCTTCCTCTCTCTCTCTCCTTTTATCCCTATGTTCATCTTTCTTTCTTAAATTCCACATATGTAACAGTGAGTAAGAGGGGAGAATAAGGGGAGCTTTAAATTTAAATGATTATCCTGAGGTGTTGGAAATTCATATTCAGACCCGAATTTCAGGAAGCCAACTATCTGAATCTCTTTCTGGTGATCTCCCTCAGAGGTAAAAATTACATCACATTCATCCTACTAGTTTTTTTTCTTTTTCTTTTCTTTTATTTAATTACTTTTCATTGTTCAAGAATTCATTGTTTATGCCACACCCAGTGCTCCATGCAATATGTGTGTTCCACAATACCCAACACCAGGATCTCCCAACCACCCACCATGCTCCACTGCAAATCCTTCAGTATGTTTCTCAGAGTCCATAATCTCTCATGGTTCATGCCTGGAGCACTGGTTCTGGTGCATAAACAATAAATTCTGGAACACTGAAAAGAAATTTAAAAAAAAATAAAAATTTTAAAAATTTTTTAGAAAATAAACAAGAGCATTGAATGACACATTCAGATATTTTTTAAAAGATTTTATTTATTTATTTGAGAGAGAGGCAGTGAGAGAGAGCATGAGCGAGGAGAAGGTCAGAGGGAGAAACGGACTCCCCATGGAGCTGGGAGCCCGATGCGGGACTCGATTCCGGGACTCCGGGATCATGACCTGAGCCGAAGGCAGTCGTCCAACCAACTGAGCCACCCAGGCATCCCACATTCAGATATTTTTAAAGCAACATTTTCACAGCAAGCAAGGTTTTGTGGATTGTTTTGTGTGTACGCTAACTTTTTGTTTCTTGTCTCTATTTTAAATTTTTCTGAATAGGATCAGCATTTTGCTGGGAAGGGATGAGCAAGGTCTGAAACTGCATCCTTTCAACCCACAGAACGTGTGCAGTGCTTCAGTTCCCGTGAAGATTCTGACCAGGTCAGTCTGAGGAAGACAGAGATCCACCTGCCCCTTCCAACTGATCTTTGTTTGACTTGTATCTGAGAAGCTCTGCTTTAGTCCATAATCTGTTGCTGACATTAAATATCAGTGTCATGTACAGTTGATGGAAGTTCTACTGAACCTTTTTAGAAGATCAAGAATTCTAAAAGGAGTGAGTAGCTAACTGAAAAGCACCCATAAAAGAAGCCAAGTTTCCTATTTTGCTGGTGCTCTCTTTATTCTTCTCTTAGTAATCTTTCAAAGTTACATTGGCAATGTTGACTCACAGTTTTACCATACTCAAGGTATGGGTGCAGATTACAGCTGAAATGAGAATTTCATCTCACCAGCTCTTGTCCCTACTTCTCTGTGGCTTCCTTTTACCACTGACACCCATCCATAGCAGTGGGTATTTAGATGTTCCAGCTAGAATTTCACCTGTTAGTGACAACATGTGGATCAACAATCAGAGCTCACAAGATGATTTTATCTTATTGGGATTCTTGGACTGTCCCTGGCTGGAGACACCACTCTTTGTAATCTTTCTGGTGGCCTACAACTTTGCCCTATTGGGAAATATCTCCATTATCCTTGTTTCCTGCCTGGACCCCCAGCTTGACATTCCCATGTACTTTTTTGTCTCAAATCTATCCCTAACGGACCTCTGCTACACTACCTGCACTGTGCCACAGATTTTAGTCAACCTTAGGGGAAAAGGCAAGACCATTGGCTATGGTGGCTGTGTTGCCCAGCTGTACTTTTTCTTGGCCTTGGGTTCTACTGAATGTATACTGTTAGCCATCATGGTCTTTGACCATTATGCTGCTGTTTGCAAGCCTCTTCACTACCGAATCATCATGAGCCAGAGACACTGCATCCACATGGCCACTGGGACCTGGATCAGTGGCTTTGCCAACTCCCTTGTGCAGTCCACTCTCATTGTAGTGGTCCCACAGTGTGGACATAGGGTGATAGACCATTTCTTCTGTGAAGTTCCTGCACTTTTGAAACTAGCATGTGCTGATACTCATGTGAATGAGGCTGAGCTCAATGTGCTGGGGACATTGTTACTTCTGGTGCCCCGCACCCTCATCCTGGGCACCTATGTGCTCATTGCCCAGGCAATAATGAGAATCCACTCTGTTGAAAGTCGCTGGAAGTCCTTCAACACCTGTGCTTCACACCTGCTGGTGGTGTCCCTCTTCTACTTCACAGCCATCAGTATGTATGTCCAGCCTCCCTCTAGCTACTCTCATGACAGGGGGAAGATCATGGCTCTCTTCTATGGGATCATCACGCCCACACTCAATCCATTTATCTATACACTGATGAACAAGGATGTGAAGGCTGCCCTGAGAAGGGCACTGACCAAGAGTTTTGGGTCAAGAGGAGATGATCTCTGGAAAGGAGACCCACGAAGCACAGATAGATGTGTTTTCCTCCCTGAGAGGATCCTGGGCATGGAAGTGATGAGAGAATGGTACGTCAAGTGCCACAGAGTTCACAGATGGAGCAGGACTGGAAAGAAGCAATAAGTCTGGGTGATCTCACAGTTGTTATCAACTTATGAGAATACCTGGCTTACAATATGAATCCTATCAGGTCTTTTCACATTGATTGCCCTAACTACCAGTTAACCCTAATGGCTAGCTAATTTAGTGTTGGGGGGAAATTGGTGTAATAACTAGAGGAAAATATATTTAGAAAGTTTAGAAAATATATTTGGTGTGAATTATTTCCAAATGAATCCCAAATAAATTATAATCATATATTTTTTAAAATGTCACTGCTATCCTGAGTCAACTTTAATTAACATGTGTTGACCACATTTGGGCATCCTCCAACATTCAGTGTCCAACTGCATCTCATCCACAAGGGTTTTGGCCTCAAAGGCAAGTGAACTCAAGAGGCATATAGGTCAAAAGCATATAAAATAGAAATGTGCAAAGGGAAAATCCATGAAAAACTTTAGAGTCAGTGATTTTAAGTATACGTTATTTTGACCATAAACCCAAGTCAGTCATTTTTATGATAAACAATGATGTCATGCTCAATAAAACAGAACTTATCCTGGGTCAACACAGAAAACAACGGACAGTGAAGATGGTAGGAATACATAAGGTGGAAAATATTCTAACCCAAAAAACTTTACTAGTGATTGATGAGTTTGACAAAGTAGCTTCCTTCACAACGTGAATGGGTAAGTTAGTCCTATTTCAATGTAGGAGTTATGAGAATATCATTTTGAAATTTAAAGCCTTAGTTGATCTATTAGATTCTTTTTTTCTTAAGAAAAGTTTTTATAATTCCTAGCTATAAACTGCCTCACAAATACATTTTAGTCAAAACAAAGTGAGTTCAGCAAAAACTCAACACTATTTTCTGAAATGAAAATTCAATCTTGTATTTCATTACTGCATATATGTACCTTCTCAACAGAGTATTGTACAAGCTGTATGCCTTTTAGGGACAACCATTCATTATCTCTGACTATAGTTTCTTTGCCACCAAACAGGAATACTAATGCCTTAATTCAAAGGTTTGTGAAATTTTTTTTCCCACAGAACACTGAGTTTAATATTTAATATTGTAGCTCTATGCCCCATAAAGCAAATCTAGACAACAAAATTAAATTCTAAATTCATAGAGCTCTACAGAATGTTTGATTTCAGACTTAAAAAATCATGGACTTAGTACTCATTCTGAGTCATCGGCACAATTTCTGTCATTCTCTCCATTCTAAGAGATATCCTCAAGTTTCCTTATAAAATTATCCTTTCCAAAGTCCAGTCTGTCCATAACATTTAGCCATTTTTGCTTGTTTCAGTTTTCTGTAGTTATTTCAAACTAATGGATCAGAGTTCCTTAAAAATATGTGCTCCAAGGTTTTAATAATCATGAACAATTTTCTGAAAACCCCTTAGTGTATTTTATCAGGATCCTTAATATGGGGGAATAAATACACCAATGGTATGAATTTCAGGTTCTGGATTACATTTTATATGGGAACATGAATGAACTATCTGCTTCAACGCTCTGTAGGAGATTCCAAAAATTTGGAAGAGCAAATATTAAAGACAGCATAACACAAAACATGCATAAAATTTCTAGTATCCTAGTATGTCTTAATAAATAATGTTTACAGTATTATTTTAGTGATTCTAGTTAAGCAGTTTACCTCTGAGGGCTTTTTGTTGTACCTCTCAGGGTGTATTTGAGATAAAAACAGCACATCTCCTTGGGTTTATTAGTTTTACTTAAGAGTCTAGATAGACATGAACAGACACTTCCACAGTGAAGACATACAAATGGCTATCAGACACTTGAAAAAATGTTCATCATCACTGGCCATCAGGGAGATTCAAATTAAAACCACATTGAGATATCACCTTACACCAGTTAGAATGGCCAAAATTAGCAAGACAGGAAACAACATGTGTTGGAGGGGATGTGGAGAAAGGGGAACCCTCTTCCACTGTTGATGGGAATGCAAGTTGGTGCAGCCTCTTTGGAGAACAGTGTGGAGATTCCTCAAGAAATTAAAAATAGAAATTCCCTATGACCCTGCAATTGCACTACAGGTTATTTACCCCAAAGATACAGATGGAGTGAAAAGAATGGCCATCTGTACCCCAATGTTTATAGCAGCAATGGTCACGGTCGCCAAATGGTGGAAAGAACCAAGATGCCCTTCAACAGACGAATGGATAAGGAAGATGTGGTTCATATACACTATGGAGTATTATGCCTCCATCAGAAAGGATGAATACCCAACTCTTGTAGCAACATGGATGGGACTGGAAGAGATGATGCTGAGTGAAATAAGTCAAGCAGAGAGAGTCAAGTATCATATGGTTTCACTTATTTGTGGAGCATAACAAATAGCATGGAGGACATGGGGAGTTAGGAGAAAGGAGTTGGGGGAAATTGGAAGGGGAGGTGAACAAAGAGAGACTATGGACTCTGAGAAAACAATCTGAGGGTTTTGAAGGTGCAGGGGGTGGGAGGTTGGGGGAACCAGGTGGTGGGTATTGGAGAGGGCACAGATTGCATGGAGCACTGGGTGTGGTACAAAAACAATGAATACTGTTATGCTGAAAATAAATTTTAAAAAATGAAAAAAAAGAGAGAAAAAAAAAGAAATTAAAAATAGAGCTTCCCTATGACCCTGCAATTGCACTACTGGGTATTTACCCCAATGATACAGATGAAATGAAAAGATGGGCCATCTGTACCCCAATGTTTATAGCAGCAATGGCCACGGTCGCCAAACTGTGGAAAGAACCAAGATGCCCTTCAACAGACGAATGGATAAGGAAGATGTGGTCCATATACACTATGGAGTATTATGCCTCCATCAGAAAGGATGAATACCCAACTTTTGTAGCAACATGGACGGGACTGGAAGAGATGATGCTGAGTGAAATAAGTCAAGCAGAGAGAATCAAGTATCATATGGTTTCACTTATTTGTGGAGCATAACAAACAGCATGGATGACAAAGGGAGTTAGGAGAAGGGAGTTGGGGGAAATTGGAAGGGGAGGTGAACCATGAGAGACTATGGACTCTGAAAAACAATCTGAGGGGTTTGAAGGGGCGGGGTGTGGGAGGTTGGAGGAACCAGGTGATGGGTATTAGAGAGGGCACGGATTGCATGGAGCACTGGGTGTGGTGCAAAAACAAGGAAATGTTATGGTGAAAATTAAAAAAAAAAAATAGAGCTTCCCTATGACCCTGCAATTGCACTACTGGGTATTTACCCCAAAGATACAGATGTAATGAAAAGATGGGCCATCTGTACCCCAATGTTTATAGCAGCAAAGGCCACAGTCACCAAACTGTGGAAAGAACCAAGATGCCCTTCAATGGACGAATGGATAAGGAAGATGTTTTCAATATACACTTTGGAGTATTATGCCTCCATCAGAAAGGATGAATACCCAACTTTTGTAACAACATGGATGGGACTGGAAGAGATGATGTTGAGTGAAATAAGTCAAGCAGAGAGAGTCAAGTATCATATGGTTTCACTTATTTATGGAGCATAACAAATAGCATGGAGGACAAGGGGAGTTGGAGAGGAGAAGGGAGTTGAGGGAAATTGGAAGGGGAGGTGAACCATGAGAGACTATGGACTCTGAAAAACAATCTGAGGGTTTTCAAGGAGCAGGGGGTGGTAAGCTGGGTGAGCCTAGTGATGGGTAATGTGGAGGGCAGGTATTGCATGGAGCACTGGGTGTGGTGCATAAACAATGAATTCTAGTACACTGAAAAGAAATTTAAAAAATAAAAATTTTTTTAAATAAGAAAAGGATAGAGATCCAGGAAAAGATTTAACTAAAAGGATATTCATCATAACATTATTTTTTAATAGCCAAATTATCCAGGACTGAAATAAAACATTGCAAATCCACACATGAGAAGAGTAAACAGTCTTTAGAAACAGTGTTGTGGAACACTATGGTGACATGATCACGATGTATTGCTATGTGGGCAAACAGGATTACAAAAGAGTGTGCACGATATGATCTCATTTTATTCAACACATGCAAACAAAAATGTCTACGAAACACACATTAAAAAAACAGTATGGTTATGTGACTAGTGGGATGATGGTATTTCCTTGTTTCATTTACCTATATTTTCTAGATTACGAGGAATACATAACTGCTTTTATAACAAAAAATTAATATATTAAAAAAAGTTAAACAATACCAAAAAAAAACAGTCTAGATAGACTTAAAAATAACTGAACACTAAAACTATTTTGAATTGAAATGATCATGGATATATTATTTTGTGGACATTGTACACATTTTTATTTTTTTAACTTTATTTTATTTTTTCAGTGTTCCAAGATCCATTGTTTATGCACCACACCCAGTGCTCCATGCAATACATTCTTTTCTTAATACCCACCACAGGCTCACCCAACCCTCCACCCTCCTCCCCTCCCAAACCCTCAGTTTGTTTTTCAGAGTCCACAGTCTCTCAGAAACATGGCTTCTCAAAGAAAGTTAATGCTGATATGGGAGGTTGTTCCAGATCTGTTCCCCAAACCCTAGGGATATATTTTGATTCAGTTTCAAGATTATAGATATAATAGAATAGAAACACCCAGATTTAAGCAAAAAAATTAAAAAGAGAGAGAATTGAATATTTAATTTTATAAATGCAACTAATACTTCTGCATGACTTCTGCCTGATATTCTAAAAATTTATATATTTAAATACATTTTTTAATGATTTATAGTCCATGCATGATCAAGCAGGCAAATCAATATAATACAAAGTTAAAAATGGGACTAATGGAGAAATCTTTTTAATACTCCTGAAAGTGTTACTGAAACATTAGTAAATTAGTCAAATATTACATTAGTAAATTTTATAAATATCAGTAAGTCATTAAATAGAAAAATGCTTTGTGATATAGATGGAACAATAGGGAAGCCTATTCAATAGGTATATCACAAAACAAAGTTGTACCTACTATTTACCGCCTATTAACCACTTTCTATGGACTGAATGTTGGTGT